CAAGCTTTTTTACTGCCACTGCAAGTTATGCGTTCGCTTAGTTGCGGATGCTTATTCAGAGGCTTGTTGTTTGGCAGAACGTCTAATATGCGTGGGAGCCAGTAGTCTAGATGAAAATTGTCGTTGTTAATGGGGAGGGGGGATGGGTTCGATTCCTTCGACCTCCATCAGAGCGGCTGGATTCAACACTGCACAATGGCGCTATGGCTTGTGACCTTTAAGTGGACCGCTGAAGTACCAAGCCGACGTCATCCGGCAACATCTGTGCACAGCCCGTGACCACCTATTTGTGAGAGGCCCGAAAGCCGGTCCTAACTGACCTTTAACTAAACGCTCCTTCCTTTTTTGCGCCGTCTAGGTGCATCAGGTAACCTGCGGTACACATTAGCAGGCAATTTCCGCTTGCCGCTGCTCCTACAGCTCCCGCTTTACTAGAGGCAGTTCGCAGTGCAGTGCACTAGCCATAATTCATGCAAACAGCCAACATTTACGAAACCTTACTAATCACCGGCAAACCGGCACTAACGGAGGGATCAACGCTGTTCAATACAAATGACCAACTTTAAGCGAATTTAAAGCATAAAATCAATATTAGAGGTAATATTACGTTGTTTAGGAATATCATCTTTATTTAGAAAAGTGGCAAATTTTGAAAACGTAAAAACCGCTGTAACTGAGCAAAGATAAACTAGAAAGCCTGTTCATGCAAAAACGAGTATTTTGACCTTTGGTATAATCAAATCCTTTCGTTGTGTATCGCAGAAGAAGCCTCCTGTCAATGTGTAAAATTTTTGTGATATCTGCGACTAGGCACTGTCTATTGAAATAAAATAGGTGGCATATCTGCTGAAATGTTAGCCGCAACTTTGAAGTGTGTTTTCGAGTAGAAGGGATTACTTAGTCGGGGTTTTGATCCTGCTTATCATGCAGTATAGTCCAAAGGTATCTTAACAACCTCAGGATTTCAGTTTTTGCATGATTTCCTTTCTTGCCACATTCGATACAAAATTCGATGCTTAAAAAGTGTGATTTTCTCCCATTTATTTTTGCCACCCTTGTGTATTCAAATTGATTTTGTAGAGATTACGCACAAATGATAATTTTTGAATACGTTTCTTAGTTACTCACCTATTTCAACTTCATACTGGAATCAAAGTAGTTTTCGGTTAAAAAGGCCGTGGCTTAGAGTTTTTAAAACCGTAGAATTGCCATTCTAATAGCATCCTATATGTCCGTCTATTAATGCATCGTCGAAAGTTTACAATATGGTCCATTTCAATTACAAAGTCTTGTACACACAGCATTTTCTTTAAAGTAGTATAAAATATGTGATTTTTCGCACATGTAAAGTGGAGCTTATAACAAGTAGGGTCCAGAAGTATTCGGGGATCGAAAATAACTTTCTTAAAATTCTTAAATGCGATTTCTTCGAAGAGCAAATTTGAAGAAGAGGTATCTTTTTGCGAGATGCCTGCCAATAAGATTATTTTGTGTACGTATTTTTATATTCTAAAAGATACTACACTTTACGAGGGCATCTGAAATCAGTGCGAAAACCCACACACACTGGCTCTTTAAACGATTGGAAAAAAGTGCATTTAGAAGTCAGCCTCCTGTCGTGACTAAAATATCTTGGTATTTGCTACGTGGTAATTAAGGTCGAAGCACACCCAAATAATTTGAGGATTTCGGCCAATGTCTCATGAGGCACGCAACCTACTGTACGTCTTGTGAATGGCACCGACCAGTAGATGCGTGCGCAGTTAGCCAGTGCCAGTAGGTAACTCTTGAAACCAGTTTTTTTCCGTAAAACATATAGGTTGCCTTTTTTTATCGTTCTGGTTGTCTGTCGTTGTGGCTTTTATAGCACGCTTGGGATCAGGCAATTCTGACTTAACTGCGTTTCGTACAGTTGCTTTTTACGCCAGGATCTGTTGGTTTCTTTCCTGTCCCAAATCAAACCCATCCCGAAGTGACATGGATTTTTTTACATCTCAGTAGAACCCCTCTCTTGCCGGTTGTGAATATTGCATTTTCCGGATGCAGAAAGAAGTTTCACTCGTTAAAAGGCTCCATTTAGTGTGTTTGGTAACTTCCACCGTCTGATAATTCGCTTGTTGCTCTCTCCCTGGAAGCTGAATTCGAAAGGGCACTTCTGTTGCATTTTCCTTCTAACTGCTGCTGTTCATGAAAATACACAAAACCTCCTTTTCTTCCTATCACAGGGCGCTGGCGGACAAACTAGCCTCTACAATGTCATGAAGGCGTACTCCCTGCATGATCGGGAAGTGGGCTATTGCCAGGGTTCCGGTTTCATCGTTGGTCTCCTCCTCATGCAGGTAACGTACCCGCTTACTTCCCTTGAGCTAGATGCCCCCATCGTTCGCTAAATTCTTGTTATTTTGACCACCTTGCTTTTTACGATTTTATTTGCTATTAGTCTTAGTCGTTCTCCTCC